TTGAAAGCTTTTAAAGCTATTTTAATCTGTCAGTCAAGCTGACATCAGAGGTTTTGAGTGATCTGTTCCTTTAAAGTCCTGACTGGTTGTGCTTTGGCTTTTATTAGCCCTCGACTCAGAGATCAGTTTAAACCTTGTATAAAGAGACAGCAAAGGACTCGAGAGATGTTAATTAGGGTGTTTTCTCTGAATCATTCATCCTTTCTCTTTTTCAACGCCTCAGTTTCCCTCAGTCAGTCTCTCTCTTCTGGGATGCATCTTATTTTGGTCACAGGGTTCGTTCTGTATATAGGTTTGACACACACACACACACACACACTTATGTTAAAGTTTTTCTATTCCTGCCCACTCTGTCTATCTTCAGAGCGCCTGTGGCTGTTTCTCTGATGTACACCGTCTGAAGCCTGCTAATGTCAGACAACCAGACATGAGAATCCCACTTTCTGATCTCTAGATTAAGAGTGTATTGGCAGAACTGAATCTATTCTTCATAAGTTCATCCTATCTTCAGGACACTCATTGAAGTTCTGTCGTCTTCTGTTGGTCTCAGGACGAACCCAAACTCCTGCTGATGATGTGGATTTTCTTTCTCCATCAGCGTGGAGATCAAGATTAGATAGAAAACCACAGTTTAGATTGAACAATGAGCTTTGAATGTCAATATTTACTAGGGATGCACGATATATCGGTATCGGCCAGTATATGATCATTTTTAATGTTTTGGTTATTGGCCTGCTGTGGCCGATATATTATAGCCGATAAATAATGGATTATTTCCTTTCGCACTGTTCAACATGATGGATGCTTGAAATATGATTGGAATCACTTCAAAAAAAGGATGCAGTCATATCGGCTACATAAAATAATGAGAACATTATTGTCATGGCTTTTAATGGTAAGACTTTGTTTTTTGTAATCAGGCTCTCAAAAATTATATAAAACTTGGATTTAGATTTATCGGCCGATATATCGGTATCGGCCCAAATTTTCATATCAGTGTAGTAAAGTCTCCAGCATTTTTACTTGCCTGTCTTAAACTCTCATTTGAAAATAAATAAATAAATAAACAGCGTCTAAAAGTGATGTAAATGTTAAATACGGCCTCAGCGAAAAGGAAGAGCTTTTATCCGCGGCAGTGAAAGTAGCATCTCTGTGAGCAAATATCACCTCTATATTCCTCACCTAAACTCTCACCTTTAAATATCTCCCCGCTGACCCGTGAAGCGTCTGTCATTTACTCAAGACTCGAGCGGTCGCTTCTGGCCTTTATCTGACGCCCTTTTGAAGGCGCTAACATCCATCATGTAAAAGCACTTAAAGGATAAATGCAGTTGACATGACTCTACTGAGGGGAAGAGAGTCGCTGGAGGAGGCAATAGTTTAATGTATTTCTCCTAGTCTGCACTGTCAATATCAGTAGATATCAGTTTAATATAGTTCTCTCTCTTCTGCTGTCCAGGGGAAATTCTTCTTCATTTTTTGGGGTGATTTACTAACTCTCTAGTTGCTTTTTTTATTTTGCTTTGCTATACTTTCTATAGATGTATATGACTAATAGCTAATGGTGTCAATCTGTAATCACATTTTACATTTTTTCAATCCAATGTTTTTTTGTTTTTTTTTGGCAGGAAAATATGCAAATTTCGAAATTATTTAAAAAAAAATTGCTATTTTAATTTGCTATTAAATTTGCTATTTTAAATGTAGACATTATTGTTTTTAGTGCTGCATGATATATTGGCCACCATATCGGTATCGGTCAATATATGTACATTTTCAAAAAGTTATCTCTGTCCGCCCAATAAAAAAAAATGTGGGCGATATAATAAGGCTGATAAATAATCGATTACTTCCTTCAGCTGAGATGCGCTCAGTTCAACATGATGGTTTTGAATCGATTAAAATATGATTGTAGTCACTTCAAAAAAGAAAAATATGGTTCAGTGCAAAAATCTGTAATATTGGCTACATAAAATTATAATGATAATATCATTTTAATTGTGTGCTTAGGACATGGCGTTTAATGGTGAGACTTTTGTTTTTGTAATTAGGCTCTCTCTACATATTTTTTATTTATTATATATATATTGTTTTTAGATTTAGATTTATCAATCGGCTTTCAAATGTAGAGTTATCAGTATCGGCCAAAATGTTCATGTCGGTGAATCACTATTTTTTTTCTATTCATTTAATATTTTACATGATGTACATATTAACTTATTAATACACATATTAAATATTAACTTTTGTATTTACATTTTCACAGCATAATTTACTTATATTTGACAAACGTTCCATTTTCAGTCTTTGATCCTCAATTACGCTGATTATTGTCATTTATCACATCAAACCAAGTCACTATTGTGAACTTTTAGCGATTCAAGCGCTTCATGTTCGGCTAGCAGAACCGCAAAGGCCTGTCGTTGATGGAAACAGGGGTTCTGGTTCCTCTCAGGAGGAGAGACATTTATTATTATTTATTTCCAGATTGAGTGCTGGTATAAAATCTACAGCATTATGTGCAAATGGAGAGAAATTTATGTATTTGTCAGTAATGTGACATCTAATGGCTCATTTGAAATGTCAATCTAGCCTCTGCCTTTATCTACCGGATATACTGAGTGGAACAGTTGATGAACCGCACAGTTTTTATGGGAACCCGCAATGCTGATGTTGCAATTGTGAGTTTAGTGAAGTTACAGCCTCTGAGAAGTATGAATGAAGTAATAAATATGAATGACCTGCAAATGTTCTCATTTGAGGGAGACGGATGGACTGAGAGCAGTGTGTGTGTTGTGTCTCAGTGTTGAGCAGCTGCTAGAAACAGAACCAGCTTCTGTTGTGATTGTTTTCTCAGTTGCCTCGAGGAACGTGTCGGAGCGCATCAATAATGCGCCGCTTTCTTACTAATTACCTAAAGGCCATCCCTGCAAGAGCAATACAGCTGTTTAAAGATTTCCCTTCATGAGAGAAAGATATATACGTGTCACTTATGGTGCCATATGCTAACACATTCAAGTGTCAGTGTTTTTAAAGTGGCGCTGTTTTCAAATTACATTTGTTCCTCCACAATTCTTAGCAGTTCAACCCAAACTAGGGTTATTACATTTAAAGTCCCCCTTGTGTAAATGTGTGTGTTGATAAGTGGACAGCATTGCTGAGTATTTCCTCCTTAAAACTGCAGTGAACCAAAGACAGTCTCAAAAACACACTTTGGTGTTTCTGACGTCACAAACCACCTTGGAACCAATCAGATCAACGTGTGATCGACACTCTGAGGGAGGGAGTGGAGGCGGGGCTCATTTGGATATTCATAAAACCGCGCATACTAATTGAGGCAAGGGTGTCGAGTTACATTCAAGATATTTTTTGCTTGTTGTTGTTGTTACTATTTTCTTGTGCATTAAAGATATTAGTGCATTTGAGAGGAAAAGTGCTTTGATTGGCATGAAAATAACACCACAATGCAAAAATACTTCATTTTTGTGTGTGTGTGTGTGTGTGTATTATATATATTATTTATAATTAAGATGCACAAATTACCACAGTAAAAATATATACAATTAAAATAAATACATATTATAGATTTATTATATTTTTTATATATTTATGTTTATATTATAAATATGTTTAATAATAAATATTATATTTATATTGGATATAAAATATTATACACAGATTACTGTATAATAAAGAATATATATATATATATATATATATATATATATATGAAGAGTTCAGATGCAAAAGCCTCTAAGTGCCATTTGAAATCTTCTTCTTTAATGATGATTTTTATCAACCTTGTATATTTAAGTTCAGTGATTTCACTTAAATGGCAATGATAATTACCTATTAATTGTTATTTAAGTGAAATTACTGAACTTAAATATACAAGTTTGATAAAAATCACCATTAAAGAAGAAAATTTGGCATTTAGAGGCTTTTGCATCTGAACTCTTCATATATATATATATATATATATATATACCCTCTTTTTGTACTGTAATTTGTGGATAATTTTTATGCAATTTTTTATAATTAAATAAATAATTACATTTTATCTTTTTAATTTTTTTCCTCTTTTTGGGGCAAGTTTCACCCTAGATTTGTTTTCCGTTGTCTTCCCCATCCTCAGTTTAACTCCATGGGTTTAATTTGATATTGCTGACTTCACTTTCTGGTGTGTTTGCAGTCGGTGTGTGTTTGCAGTCGGTGTGTGTTTGCAGTCGGTGTGTGTTTGCAGTCGGTGTGTGTTTGCTTCTCATGAGAGATGACAGGAGTCTCCGGGACATCACGAAGCTCTTCAAACTCTCGTGTGTGTGTGTGTGTGTGTGTGTTAGCTCATCTGTCAAACGCTGATTGCTGTGTCTCTTCAGCCCAGGGAGTCTCAGCTAGTGATATAAACGGTTGGCACAAGCTCCCGTGTGAAGGTCATCCCTGTGTGTCGTCACATGTACACACACACACACACACGTGTCTGTCCCAGTGATGGAGCGCCTATGCTAATGTGGATGTTTGAGGTTAGCAGAAGCTGTTTTGTAGTCTGTGACTCAGGCCGTGATGCTCTGCCATTGGAAATGTGCAACATTAGTCCACCTGATGGTCATTTTGAGCGTTTCCAGTGGGTCTTCTGTGATGTTTCTGCATTACTCTTGTTGATGTGTCACCAGGATGATGTTATGTAGATGGTTAACATAGATGAGGTTTTGTTGCGACTGAGTATCATCAGTGAAAACCACATACAAATCAGTAATGGCAGATGATGTGTCATTGTTTCACGCATTCACACTCGCACACACTCACAAACTAATGCATATATGTATTTTCTAGGTTGTGTACAGCTCTGATATCTGATATGCTGAAGTGTAGACTGTAATTGCTCAGAATAAACCTAAACCCGGCCCAGACTGCACACGTGATGCACCAATTAAAGCAGGTATAGCAAAGCAAACACTCCCTGCCCCATGATTCACAGCGTTTGTTTCCCGCCTCTCTCGCAGGTAGGAAGTTCATCATAGCGAATGCGCGCGTGGAGAACTGCGCCATCATCTTCTGCAACGATGGCTTCTGCCACATGTGCGGCTACACACGGGCCGAGGTCATGCAGAAGCCCTGCACCTGCAGCTTCCTGTACGGCGCACACACACGCCGGCTGGCCATCGCACAGATGGCACAAGCGCTGCTCGGGTCCGAGGAGAGGAAGGTGGAGATCGCGCTCTATCGGAAAGACGGTAGGACAAACACACACACACACATTGATCCACAGCGCTGTGAGTGTTTCATTACGACGAGAATCTCCCCGGGTGTTTTGCTTCAACAGCGAACGCTTTATCGCAGGCTGTTTAATGCAGAGCGGGGCCTTGAGGTGTTTGCGGTGTAGTTTTCATGCATCTTTTGGTTTAAACGCTTCTGGACCTGGAAACGGCTTCAGTGGGAATCATGTGGGGAAAAAATCATGTTCTGCTCACCAAGGCTGCGCTTATTTGATTAAAAAACAGATAAAATAATAAAATAACTGTTTTCAATGTGAATACACAGTAAAGTGTAATTTATTCCTGTGATTTCCAGCATCATTACTCCAGTCTTCAGTGTCACATGATCCTCCAGAAATCACTCTAATATGAGTTATGAGAACAGTTATGATTATTATCAGTGTTGAGAACTGTTGTTTACAGCTGTTTTGTTTAAGGATTCTTTGATGAATAGAAAGTTCAAAAGAACAGCATTTATCTGATATACAATATTTTGAAACATTATGGGCCCTATTTTAACCATCTGAAGCGCAAGTAACTTTGTGGGCGGGTCTTAGTGGGCGGGTCTTAGTGGGCAGGTCTTAGTGGGCAGGTCTTAGTGGGTGGGTCTTTGTGGGTGGGTTTTAGTGGGCAGGTCTTTGTGGGTGGGTCTTTGTGGGTGGGTCTTTGTGGGCGGGTCTTAGTGTGCAGGTCTTATTGGGCAGGTCTTAGTGGGCAGGTCTTTGTGGGTGGGTCTTTGTGGGTGGGTCTTTGTGGGCGGGTCTTAGTGTGCAGGTCTTATTGGGCAGGTCTTAGTGGGCAGGTCTTTGTGGGTGGGTTTTAGTGGGCAGGTTTTAGTGGGCAGGTTTTAGTGGGCAGGTCTTAGTGGATGGATCTTTGTGGGTGGGTGTTTGTGGGCGGGTCTTTGTGGGTGGGTCTTAGTGGGCAGGTCTTAGTGGGTGGGTCTTTGTGGGTGGGTCTTAGTGGGTGGGTCTTTGTGGGTGGGTCTTTGTGGGCGGGTCTTAGTGGGCAGGTCTTAGTGGGTGGGTGTTTGTGGGCGGGTCTTAGTGGGCAGGTCTTTGTGGGTGGGTTTTAGTGGGCAGGTTTTAGTGGGCAGGTTTTAGTGGGCAGGTCTTAGTGGATGGATCTTTGTGGGTGGGTGTTTGTGGGCGGGTCTTTGTGGGTGGGTCTTAGTGGGCAGGTCTTAGTGGGTGGGTCTTTGTGGGTGGGTCTTAGTGGGTGGGTCTTTGTGGGTGGGTCTTTGTGGGCGGGTCTTAGTGGGCAGGTCTTAGTGGGTGGGTGTTTGTGGGCGGGTCTTAGTGGGCGGGTCTTTGTGGGTGGGTCTTTGTGGGCAGGTCTTAGTGGGCAGGTCTTAGTGGGCAGGTCTTAGTGGGTGGGTCTTTGTGGGTGGGTCTTAGTGGGTGGGTCTTTGTGGGTGGGTGTTTGTGGGCGGGTCTTAGTGGGCGGGTCTTTGTGGGTGGGTCTTTGTGGGCAGGTCTTAGTGGGCAGGTCTTAGTGGGTGGGTCTTTGTGGGCGGGTCTTATTGGGCAGGTCTTAGTGGGCGGGTCTTAGTGGGCAGGTCTTAGTGGGGGGTCTTAGTGGGCGGGTCTTAGTGGGCAGGTCTTTGTGGGCGGGTCTTATTGGGCAGGTCTTAGTGGGCAGGTCTTAGTGGGTGGGTCTTTGTGGGCGGGTCTTAGTGGGCAGGTCTTAGTGGGCGGGTCTTTGTGGGCGGGTCTTGGGCGCTGTTGCTATTTAACCGGTGGGATAAATGTCTCTTGCGCCCGACGCAAGTTTAAAAGGGGTTGGTCTGAAGTAGCTTCATTATTCATAGGTGTGGTTTGGGTGTTACGGGAAATAAACCAATCAGAGCGTCATCTCACGCACCCTTTAAGAGAAAGTGCGCATGTTTCATGGCGGATTGTTATTATAATGGCGGGAAAAGTTTCTTGAGCATCAGATCCTCATATTAGAGTGATTATGTGGGTGTGACTGACTCTGCTCTATCTTTGGCTTTACCAAATGACGTCTGACAGATCAGTGTAGCTCGAGAGAGAGAGAGAGAGAGAGAGAGAGAGAGAGAGAGAGAGAGAAGAACTGCTCCTGCAGGCGATGTTGTTTATGTGATGTCTGTATTGTTTTAGCAACTAATTTGCTGAAGGAATTATGCAAATGAGCTCCTGGTTAAAGTGGATTGTGGCTAGAGTTCAGGTTTGTGGAGTCGCACACAGTCTGGAGGCTCTTCTCGACAGCAGATGTTCGCGCTCAGCCTTCTGCACAGCATCACACTAGCAATCATAGTTTCCACTGTTTATGCGTTCGGCCGTGTGTTTGGTGTTCATCTCGTGGCCTCCTGACCTGCGCGGGTCTGAGACATTAGCATACCTCGCTGTGTAATGCAGTTTAGCGGTTACTGAAGAATCTAATGCAGCGGTTCTCAGGCGTTTGACTCAAACGACCCCTACTGTACAACAATATCTGAGTTTCCTTCTGTATCTTCTTTAATACGACAAAACAATAGTTTAAAGTATTGTTATACACACACAGAATCTGGACTCAGGCCTTGATGACGACACACACTGATTCTCATGCATGACTGCGGCGGAGACTCGGAGACGGGGATCCCGATGTTCCCTCTTCCCGCTCATCTATCTGCTGTGCTCCGCGCTGGCATCGGCCTTCATGTTGATGGATCGCCCTTTCCTACTCTCGATAGCCCGTCGCTGATCTGACCGGCACTTAATCAATCACTCTGAGCTTTAAACTCCGCTCGGGTGCGTTACCCATGAAGACCAGAGAGAGCGAGTGGCGTGAGGGAGGCCGACGCGTGACAAAGGGCACAATAGTGTAGACTCCTGACTAGCTGTGCATTGACTGAATGAGAAAAAAAAAAAGTGTTGTTGTTTTTTTTTCTTTTTCTTTTTGTTTTATGTATTGTTTGTTTTTTTTTGTTTGTTTTTTTGTTTTCTACATGTTCGAAATAAAAACTTTTCATTCATTTCAAATGAGCACTGTTCGTCCGACTGTTTCATACACAATTACCATTGTGTATGAAATGTGCTATAAATAAGCCTGCCATGCCTATGTGAACAGTAGAAGATGAAAAGTTGAATAAAGTCGTTATTTTATTTATTTTTTTGCACACAAAAAGTATCTTGTCGCTTGATAAACTTATGGTCAAGCCATTATGGTTAGTCGTTGTCGCACGCGCGCTAAACCTCCAAACCACACCCCCAAACCCTTCTTGTCAGTGATTGGCTGGAACACTGTTTGTTATCTTCCGTGGTCCAGGTTGGCCCAGTTTGTTTGTGGAGCCTGGGCTGTCTACAGAGGCCGCTTGTCTTCTCAGTGTGTCTCAGCAGATAGTGATGAAAAAACAAAAAACATGTGACATGGCTTAACTAAACACGCTGCTCTCCGTGTTGACGGCATTAGAGCCTGACATCTTCTGCTGTGACCCTTTGACCTTCATGACCTGAGGGGTCTGATTCCCCCCACAACAGTTGGAGTTTTTTTGAGATTGTTGTGAGCAAAAATCCTTGATTATGCGGCCCGTTTTCTTTAAAAATGCGATGGAATATGCAGGATTTTTATGCGATATAATTGCGGGAACTTGCAGAGAAAAGAGAAATAAAGTGATTCCCCAATACGGTTCTCACTAGACCACTGCCTTAAAGGATTGGTTCACTTTTGCTCTATTCTGTGAGGCGCATTTGTAACGTCACGTAATACGTAATTACGTTGAAAACGTCACGGGCGACGTAGCCGGAAGTACAGAGTCAAAATCATCCGACATCGTTGTTTTACCTTTTATTTCCTTTTTTTGTAAACGGCGTTTGAGTTAGTTTGCACGTTCAACCTATGCGTTCAACTTGTAAACACTGACTCTGTACTTCCGGCTTCGTCGCCCGTGACCTTTTGAACGTAATTCCGTATTACGTGACGTTACAAACGTCATATATATATATATATATATATATATATACAACATAATTATACACAGTGCACCCACATATATTATGTTAACACAGACTTTTATTTTGGATGCGATTAATCGCGATTAATCGTTTGACAGTCCTACTTTTTCAGTCCTAGGATTATAAAATCATATAACACGGAAATCGGCAATTTATGCGGCGAAAGTGCGGCGTATTAAAAACATGCCCCTGCATAAACATGCGGACTGATTATGCACTGAATCATGCGATGGCATAATCCCGTTTTTCTGGAGGGACTTCTTTCTGAGAGCTCTTTGATTTCGTCTCGTGCTGTTGTTCATCTCCGCACCTGTCCTGCGTCTCCGTGAGGGATTCCTCCATGTTTACACGGACTCTTGGCAGGAATCTCCTCCGTTATGAGCCAAGCTATATTTGATTAGCAGACTCTCTCTGTGCATCACTCATTTTCATTTATTGTGACATAATTTTAATTACTGATCATATCTGGCTGTCAACTTGTAATGAGAATTGACGGTTTAATAGAAGTTCCTGGTCTTATTGGGGTCGGGAATGATTCATTAGTGCATCAGGAAAATTTAATGAAATAATCTTTCAGCAAAATGCTTTTTTTATATTAAAAAAATATACTGATGTCACTTTGGCCACATAAACTACTAGTTAATCAGTATTCACAGGGAAATGTTTGGTTTGGAATTGTTAATTGTTATTCGGAAAAAAGACAACAACAAAATATACTTACTTAATCGTCTTTTTTTGTTAACAAACTGTAACTTTTCAGGTCAGAAACCACTTTTTTATGTTAGGACTATCTCTAACTCATATAACAAGAAGGCTTTAAAAACAATTGAAATATGTAAGTCTTTTAACCTTATCCTTTCATATGTGATCTGCACCTTTTTTGTTTTACATTGTTTCCTTCCTTGTTTATATATTGTTCTCAATAATAATAATAAATAATGAGTATTCACATTTCTATTTAGGCATTATTTTAGCATTAATATTATTTATTTTGTACCTGGCAATTTTTTTTAGCTGCCATTACAG